ATCAAGAAGTTTTGTGAATTTACAACTTGTGAGTTTAATTGCAACACTTTTAGGCTTCTCTGCACATAATTCGATTTTGACAGATTTGTGGGTTGGTTCCGGTTTGCATAACTACATCTATATAGTTCTATGTTCGATTGAGCGAGTAGAATACCGTTTACAGTTTCTGTTGATCGATGGTTAGCTAAACTAAAATAGAACCGGAACTGTACCGTTTGACGCCATTTTGACACCGAGTAGAATAGGAAAACCACTAAAAGTTGTAGTTTCGTTCGGTTTCGTTCCGTTTTCGATTCGATTTAAACAAAATTTATTTAGTAGAATTGGCCCCCTGACTCTTTAGCTTGTGGTACCTATAGAGAGTCTACGTAACCGCAAATAGACCAACCATGAAATTGCAGGAAATTTCCTAATTCGACAAGTTTCCACTGTAATATAGTTAAAGCAGAATTGAATGTAATTAAACTTAATAAATAAATGAAACTATAAATTCAAAAACCCTACGCCATTATTTAGTTGCCATGAATTCTTTGAACATTTCTCTTGTCCTACTGGCGTAACGTAATGATAGCTTTATCAAAGGCTAGCTTAATTGGCGAACTTTGAAGCGGTCAATTCATGTAAAAAAATGTTATTTTTAAACACTTTCTTCTCAATTTTTCTATTTTTTTCTCCGTAAGATGAATTTTGGACGGAAATCGGCTTATTTTATGCAGCCGTTTTGTCGAATTTGCTCTTTGTAACACTCATTTTTGTTATTTATTTTTTATAACATTCATTTTTATTTATCTTATAAAAATATTAGCACCCCTTTATTCACCCGCGTGGATAATATGATTTCTAAATCCTTATTTAATCCCTTAATTAGAATATTTCAAAACCCTTTCTTAGCGAACCTCTCTAATAGTCATATTAACTGTTAGTGTGATTTGTCACACTTGTCACACGTTTTCACACGTTTCAGCTTGATCCGTCCAATGGTATGAATAGTGTGTTGATAGATCTGTCAGGCAGTCAACTTTTGTATTTAATATAATATACGTTATATTTTGAGACTCTAAAGACAGTCTAACGTCTTTCATAGCAGATTTATAAATAAAAACAACACTATTAGTCTAAAATAGTAGAACAATTAAAATATTTTTTTCTGATTTTGTTTTCAAATCTATTGATAGACAGTGTCAGTTATATTGTTTATCTAGTTTGTCAACGCATTATTGCAACACAACAGTTAGTTAAGGTGAAATTGAGAAATATAAGAACGCTTTTACGATAATAACATATAACTAACCACAAACGCAACGCTTTAGTAACACCTCAACCTGTATATGAAGTACCTTGTAAATGCTTTTACTAAGGACAAAAAAGATGTTTCTGACTATGTAACCAAAATGGCAAATAATATTTCCAACACCGAAATAAAAACATAATATCCATATAATAAAAAATACGGACCCAACATTTATTTTTTTAGTTGATTTGATTAGTATTATAATGTTTTTTCGAGATTAAATATAATATTAGCATATCTTATAGCTTGCTTTCTCTCACAATTTCTTTGTTTGCTAATAAGTTTAATGATATATAAAATATGAGATGTTTGGGAAGGATCAAAACAAATAATATTAAAAAAAAGCTTAACCTATACACTGATTGAACACCAACGAGATCGCCTCGCGAGTTTTTCGCGGTGAAAAAGTTAATACACTTTTATGTGATTCATGAATGTTAAGATTGAAATAAATTTAAATTATCTTAAGATGATATGACGTGAATATATAAATAGAACCTACAGATTACATTTATAAAGCAAGATATGTACATTTTTGGGGTGGAAACCTGGTAATATATTTTTTCAGGCTAAGCCTATTATAGACACCAGTGTCAAAACATGTATGTACCCATAATTAAGTATGTGAATTTGTGATGAGAACTTAAGATATATTTATATTGATGACAGAATTTTTATAATCGACTCAGTAGTTTTTCAGTTTTTCCGTTACAAACAAAGAGTACTAAAATATTTTTACTTTATAATATCTTATTTGTAATAGATGGCAAAGTTACATTAGCTGAAAATGTTCCTTCAATAAAAAACATTTACTAAAACATTGATCAACATTTAATAAGAAAATATTAAATTTATTAGCCAACGCTTATATTTTTGGCATATTACCTAATGTTATGTAACTTAATATCAACAGTCCGTAGCTGAAGGAGGGCTGACCTCCTTCCGCGATACACCGGGTCAAGGAGAGACGATGACCATAGTCTGGACGATTTGTAAATACCCGTTTTATTATTAAAGATGTAAGGTGCAAAATCAAAAACAAATCTTTGATATTTTGTACCGAAATTAACTTTTGCAAATGTTTTAATAATGTAAATATTAGCAAATGTTTTTTAATGTAAAATTATGTATGCACAATTATTAGATATATAGACCACATGTTCTACAAAGGCTGGCATTTTTTACGCCTGCTTATCAATAATAGCAATAGATTTTGTCCGCACAAACTTCCTTACAAAAGACATCAACGAGCGTTACATTGTACAGAGCTTTACAATTATTTTTTTAATCAGGGTTTATGTTTTGTGGTATTTATTTATTTTATTATAACACCTAATACGTTATAGTCATATACATGAATTAAAGACATTGTAATTTAATAATAATCAAACTATAACCCAGTAAAATGTGCCTGTAAAAGTAACGGTTAGCATTAGATAATCTAAGCGGTTAAATATAATATTACATGAATTATACAATATTGGACTCATTTAATTTATAAAAAATACATTAAATATGTAAAAATTATGAAACAACAAAAATAAATTATTTAATAGTATAATAATTTCAAACTATTAAAAAAACATTATTTTAAAAAATCAAATTTAAAAATAAATTGATTTCAATAAATTAATCGCAAATTACATTGAATATAACTCAAAATAAATAAAACTAAATCAATTTAAATAAAACAATACATAAAAGTTGTTGTTTAAATTTAAATATAATAACATTCTATTATGTCAAAACTAATAAAAATATTTTGTTTAGCCATGGTGAAAATAATATATATATTGTTTCATTCAAATTTAGTATACTCTTTATATCATTAAAATATCCTCGAAAAGAAGAACTTTAACTCCTTTTGTTTTATTAACAATTTACGAAATCATAATCATATAAAGAAATGCAAATTAAAAGATAATAATAATGTCTCCTCGGCCTTCATTCAAGGATTTTATTAAAAAAAAAGGTCAAAAAGAGAAAAGATCACTTGTATCATGAAGGGTCTAAGAGAAGGTTCGAGTCAGGGGTAGTATTCTTAATATTAACTTTCGATATATTTCATGAATATTATCGCACTCCGTCCTACTCTACGTTATGAAACATACTTAAGTTAGAGTAGGACAGATATCAAAACTTTCGACTACATATCGAATGTCCAATTAAAGAGTATAGAGCAGCTTCATGTAAACATAGTGTCTGTGACGCTTTCTACTAACAACCTCGGCCCGGCCTTGGCTGCCTTTTGGTACTCAAAGATTTTTTTGTCGTAATTATCTGATGATTATTTCACTACTTATGTTCGCTGACATGATTATGAGTTTATGTAATAATATAACTGGTTTAGTGGAACGTTTACGCAGCCATCTCTATCTTATTGTTTTCCTTGAAAATATCATTTGAGTATCTGAATGCAAAGAGAAATTAATCCGTAATAGATCTTAGATATCTTTCTTTGATATATCTAAATAGATATTTAAAACAACTAGCTGACCCGGGAATGGTTGTTTTGCCATATAATTTTGGGGTGGACCCTTATAACTTAGAAACATAGAAAACTAAAACTAAGACACGGTAATTTTATACATTTATTTTAAATTCATGACGACATTTAATTTTTTACTTCAAATGTCGCAAACAACCATCCTTAGTTATAAGATTTTATCTGTGAAACCAACATCAAAATAAAATAATTTAGTCATACATCAGTGATAATTGATGATTATGTAATGTAGTAAATTACTGCTAATTATACAAAACATGTATAAACCATGACACGTACACAATAACGTATCAACAGTTAGATAACATCTTTTATGACAAGGCTATTAAGTTGACAGCTATTCCGGTGAGTTGTCGGTTTTTATATCATGATCTTGTGAATCACAAACTTATAACATAATTACATACAGCTCGTAATTTTGGAATGTAATTACTTTAGAAAAAGGATTTATAAACGGCATTAATGTAATTTTACTATAATTGTGTTGCTTATAAATAGATAATGTATATAATAGCGAGCGATTGAAATGTTTCAATACTATTCAATTAAATACGAAAATATTTTTATTATAAAATACTTCATGCTAAGTAACTTTCGCAAGGGTCGGTCACATGGGTGACCAAAAAATTATTATCTCGAGCTACTCCGTGATTCGGAAGGCACGTTAAGCCGTTGGTCCCGGCTGCATTTGCAGTCGTTAATACCCTCCAATCCGCATTGGGCCAGCGTGGAGGGTCATGGCCCATCCTCCTTAACCATCCATAAGGAAGGCCTGAGCCCCTGCAGTGGGGACGTAAAAGGGCTGGTGATGTGATGACTTCATGCTCCAGAAGGCACGCGACGTTGATCCTGGCTGCATCAACTATCATCTGCACTGTGGTCATGGCCATGGCCCATTCCCCCCTATTCGATTCCTTACATAGGGAAAGCCTGTACTCCAGCAGTATTAATAGGCTCATGGTGATAAAGATAAAAATTCGTCATCATAACATTATTTGAATTGGATCACGTGATGAATGAATATAATTTGTTTTATATTATTAATTTATAAAATACTTAAACTGAATTTGCGCAAATGTAGTTCACAATATAGAGCCAAGTATTCAATTACCATGATTTGTCGTAAAATATGATATATTATGTGATGTATGATACAAAAACAACTTGCAGGTGACACCAACACTAACGAACGCGTATTGTATAATGTTTTATTTTATGTTAGAGAGCAGCGGGTCGCAGATCTTCAGTGAGTGGCGACAAGATGTATCCATGTCCGGACTGAGCCCGCCCTTCGACACGGCCTTCTACACGGTGCGAGTGTCTGTCACCAGCAACCTGCAGGACATCGTTAAGACTGTAAGGACTTTACTTCTTCTAATTTCCGTAATGGCAAATAAATCCTTTGGAAAATGAAAAGACGATATAGAATTTGACAGAATAAAAATCGTGTATACATTATCTATGTTACACAAAACCGTGTCTGTGTGTATGTACATTTTCTATTGCGTCTAGTTATTTTGTGAGTGTACTACCAATTGTGCTACCCTGTCCAATTTCTCAAGTAATCCAAAAGCGTTCTCTTTCTACAGAGACGTACCCTCCACCTGGGCCTGTGTTTACCCCAGAGTTGTTCACGAGAGAGTGTGGGTGAGTTAGTGGGAGCAGCTCACGCTCCGCTGTTGCGTCAGGCCGTGGTCGCCGTGAGGTCGCCGCAGCACGGAGGATACTCTTACCTACAGGACCCCACCTTCCAAGTACTGCTGTAAGTATACACCAAACGCTGTCATAAAAACTATCGCACTTACATGTGCTACAAAGCTAGAGCTTAGATTAAAACAAAAAGGGAGAAAATACAGTATATTCTTAGTTCGTACGTTACGTATTCGATAACTAGAGATAGACGACATAGAAGTAAATAATAACAGACACTCATGCGGATACAATTTAATAGCGTTAAAATTATAATTAATAACACAGGATTCTCAAATATGCAGTGAAAGCGAGACTGCGTTAAAAATACCGATTCGAGTATGTACATTTTCTTATCTATAGAGATACAAAACAGGATATAATTATTAGAAGCATATCTTGAACGACCAAACTATACTCAAGAACAGGTATATCTAGCGTGGTGAAAAAGAAGCAACATTAAACAGAAGTTTATTGTATTTATTGAAAATTCATTTAAATTGTTTTCACGAATGATAAGAAATCTCGTTTGCTTTAGATTTTCTTCTTGAGTGACTGGTACATGATCTAAATACAGAAAAAGATATTGAATAAAAAAAACATCAAAATAATTTATTCAATGTAGGCTGTTAAAAGCACTTGCATAAGTCGAAACTCTATCCACGTTGGTCCCAATGCGCATGTAAATGAAAATGTTACAAATGTAACTTCAGTTGCGTTCGTAATTATTTATTACAAAACCACAAAATATGTCGTGTCTGTTTATGCGTGCGTATGAACCGTTAGTTGTATGTAATTGCGGCATCTGAACGCAACGGTTGACACACAACATATTTTTAAAATTGCAGGAAACAATAATTACTATTTCAAAAATATTTCGAAATGAAATTTTAATAATGTGTATTAAAATCTACGGATGCAACGCCACATACACCCGGTTTCTGAATTAAGTATTTAAAGTTAAATAAGTCTCTAACTATGGCCTATGTCCAGCTGTGAGCGTCTCTCGGCTGATATGATGAGTTCTCAAACTGTCACTTAAAGAGGTTTTCGTTTCTGATTTTAGTTGATAGCAGTTTGATTAGTTGATAAGTCTTAGTTTGTAGACTTTTTGCCATTTGAAAAGTAAAAAACTTTAGTTATTTAGAATAATTAGTTGAGATTTTGAACTTTTCTCAATTCAGAAACTGGCCGTAAGATCAATAGAGCCTCAGCAAGCGCAATTTTTTTTACATAAAATAAATAATTATGTTTTCTTTAATAAGTTCAATGAAAAAAAGCAGAGTCATTTAGTCTTCGATTAAGATAAGATAAGAATATTTATATTGACATTCACACATCACATTACAAAAAGAGACAATAATTAAGAAAATTAATATCTAAAACTATACATAATAAGTGCGTGGATATATTTTGTGAGGACAAAAAGAAAAAGCAGTCCTTGCTAATTTTTTGCTGGTGTGTACGTCAAAATAGCGGGCACACCAGCATGTTTGAAGGTCTTATATATATCAATAAATTGAGAATTATAATTCAGTCGCAATTATTTTGTGTATTTATTAGCTTAAATATTATATCCGTTTGTTTTTTAATTGCCGTTATCATCAAGTTAATCAATCATCAATCATCAATCAAGTTAGCAGGTATACCAATAATCAGAAATATCTCGAATTCTATTGAAGTGAACGAAATGTATGTTCGTGGTATAGAAGTCGCTAATTAGTCACAAATTTTTGACGTATAATTCAAACAAAACGAATCGTATTTGCTACTACCTAGACGTCTAGTTAGCAGGCACACTAAGATCTTTCAATAACTCTTAATTTGCAGTGTTACTAATTATATGCTATGTAATAGACATACATAATACCCTCAAAGTCGTTGGTGTGCCTGCTATCTTGACGTTCACTTGCTGGTTCTTCCCAGTTTGATAACGGGTGACATAGTTTTTCAACATTCACAAATACTCGTAGCTATAATTTAAGGTAACTACTGAATAAATAATTTACGAGGACTAACTTTATAAATCAACAATTTTCTCTTCTGTAATTTTGTAATTAATTGCGTAAGTTATAACTAAGTACCTAATCCTAGTTTATGTTGTCGTATAGTGGCGTATGCTCGTGCGTGGCGGTGTTACTGGTGACGGCGACGGCGTACGACATGCGCCTGGCGCGCGCGGTGCAGCGGCAGCGCCGGCGCGCCCACAACATGAGCTCCGCCGACAGCTCCCCGCGCGCGGACCTCAAGCTCGACCTCGACGGACTAGACGACATCAAGGTTGCAAACGGTGAGACCCACCTGTGATTCCCTATCACGTCTCAAGATATATCCTGAGATTACAGAATTTTAATTCAATGATTTTTCAATTTCTGAATAGATACAGAATAGTGAAAGTCCCGACAAAATCCGTTTAGCCGTTTCTAAGATTATCCGGAACAAATAGAAATATAAAAAAAAATTATTTTGGTATATTAAATTTTAAAGAAATAAGTTTTCGTTATTATTGGATAAATAAATTTTAATTAAATTTGTGCAATTCACATATAAAAAATCTTGACGGCTTAAACCAAAACTTTTTATGTCCCGTAGCCTCGAGTTTATTGGTTTCATAAGGAACCTTGCCCAATAAACCCAAAAACCAATTAGGAACGGAGACCTATAAATCAATATGGCCTTCGAATAATTGTAGGCTCTAAAATTACCTCATGCAAAAATCTGAGTTATCAATTATCTCCAAGTAAATTTGTTACAGGCAAAAAAATGTACAACGTAAATAACAACATCGCAATCAACAGCAACACTTCAGAGGAGCGGCTCACCGCTGAAACAGCTTCCACTCACGAAGAACTGAAACTGAGTGAGCTAAACTATCCACGGCACCATTTTGAATATCATTTTCACATCATCAACATAATTAACCCATCAATATTAGAGTACAGACCTTCCCCAAACACAGGGGAACAGATCACAATCTTGCGAGATGGTTCAATCTAACCAATACACGATCAAGATTCTTGGAATTGAATTTTAATAAGCAGAGACTGACATAGTCATCGGCGACATCATTAATTGATGCTTTTCAAAATAAACACAGCATTTAATATATATACCTCGGCCCCGTATCGGAGTGGCTCACAGATCGATTTTAAAGTGTCAACATCTCTGAGACTCCGAATTCGATTCCAGAGGTCGAGTCAATATAGAAAATGAACATTTCATATTGCCTCGAATCTGGGTAATTTGTAAAACCTTTGTTGTATAAAGTCTCTAACTTTTCGGGATCTGAGCTATGTATGTGATGTTGTCTAATATGTATTCTTCTCCTCCGTTATTTACCTGAGACCTCGCCGAATGTCTTTTCTTGTGCACTATTCTTATCTATCTTCCTTTTTTTTGCGATGGAGATGGTTTCATTGAGTGTTGTACTGATCTGGGGTCCTTCCGTGTAACTTAGCTTCGATTTAATTAAAATTTGAGTCAGTCAAAGTGCACTCTTCATTAGATATTGAATACTTAGACACAACTGTGTACGTTCAATACATCGGGTTGAATAAAATAATAATAATATTAATAAATTTATTTCTCTGTATCCCAATTACAATTTTGTCTTATAGTTAGGTAGTTAAATATAAGTAAAGAAACATAAAAAAGCCGTTTAGCTTGTGACATAGTTATTTGTTTTCTTTGAACTGTGGAAAACAATTTTATATATAGGTAGGTAATATTAAATCTTTGTTTGTATGAGAATATTTTAAATTTATATGACAACAGCTAACACAGTTTTATAGATTTTTTACTAAGATATTCTTCAGTAAGTTATGTATATATGTACTTGCATATTATACCTTCAACTTATTCTTATCATATTTTTACAGTAGAAAAATTCATCCAACATTGCATTAATACACTATTAAACATTAAGTGTATTTAAATTAATTCTAATATCAACCAAATTGAAGCCATTTCAATCACGTAGGCCTACTATTTTATTCAACACAGAGGAATCTTTCGTTCATCTAAGGCCATGGTAATGGCCCACCAAAGCCGAGTCAAAAGACAGTACTACTTCTGCAACATTGTCACATCTTATAATATTAATATTTGTGTAGGTGTATGGTCGCAGCTGCTGCTCTCGTTCTCCATGAAGGCCAACATCCTGCAGATCTTCGATCAAACAGTTGGCGCGGACACGGTGCCCGTCGTGCACGGCCTGCGCTCACTGTCCATGGTGTGGGTCATATTCGGACACACATGCATCGTCGTCTTCAAGGTGACCACTATATACTCTATAAACGTATATAATACCTATGTTTAAGGATATTTGCTATTTACATTGATTTCACTCGTCATATTAACATATATATATATATATATATATTTATTAAAAAAAATAAGAATTGATGACCGCTTGCCGAAAAAATTTACAACTGTAAATATTGGACAAAACAAGTGGCAATAAAGAAACGAAATCTTCTTGTGGGTTTCAAAATTTACCCTCTACATAAATTTTTTCAATAACATTATATTAATTTGTATATACGTTATCTGTAAGCTCATCACATAAATCTAAATGACCACAAATTGTAAGTATAAAGTATCAATTTTGTTTCAGTACGCTGATAACACTGCTTTGCGCGCGATCTTGGAGAAGAGCTTCTGGTTTCAGCTCATCCTCAGCGCTGTTTACAGCGTGGACACATTCTTCTGTCTTGGGTAATTAATGATAACGATATTACATTGTTAAACAGCATATTACTGACTAATCATATTAATCTTAAAATAAAAATGAGTAATAATCTTTGCCACTCTTAATATGATTTATTATTTATTGATATATGTATAGGTATCAAGCTCATTGAAATAAACTAAAAATGTTTTTAACTTTTCTTTACCTAGTTAATTTTACAGACTAGAAAACACAGCGTGCCAGCATCTAAATTGTTATTTACTACTAGTGCCTAAATAATCTGTTATCTTTCTGCAGAGGCATGCTGGTATCGTTCCTATACTTCAGGACCAATTCCAAGGGTAAACTGGATCTACTGACGAAGGGTCACCACAAACTCACCTCCGGCGTGCTGCAGTTCCTCGGCCTCATGGGATACAGATTCGCCAGGTCATTTACATACAGATAACTACAAAGTAACATTAATTTATATGTAAATAAGTTTATTGAAAGCTTTCCTTTATTTACTTTCTTATCAATATCTTCCGAAGATCAAGTTCTTCGTAACGTATATTGTATAAATTTTATATTTCTTACTTATTATATATGACAGACTAACAGCCCCGTACCTATTCATGCTGGGCGTGGTGGAAGTGACGATGAAGTGGTTCGCTCACAACGCGGTGTTCGAGCCCCCCGCGATGGACCACGAGACCTGCCCGCAATACTGGTGGAGGAACCTGCTCTACATCAACACGCTTTTCCCCGTCGAACAGATGGTAAACTTATTACAACATTGTACTGTGAGAAATGCAGCATATGCGTTGAGAATACCAGCTGTACTGAATTTGAACATAGGGACGAAATTAGAGTTTAGATGAAAACTATACCACACATTCATACTTGCATCAAGTACTTATGTTCTTGATCTTATCTCTTTAACGGGAGAACTGATGAAGAACCTGATACAATAACTAGTAAGATAATCCAATCGCACATAAAATCAGAAACATACACATCGAATCTAGTCGGTCTACGCTAAGACAAACGTGTTCAATCTCATATGAAAACAAAAAGAAAGATAAAGCTCACACTCTTCATACTTGATCGAAGAAAAAGACTTCCTAAAAATGATTTACGCAACTGTAAATGTCTTTGCATTTCAAAAGTCGGGTCGGAAAGTTTCTTTATGGATTGCCTACGTCGTACATAGTGTCATAACCTATACTCACATCTATAACGATACATTTTTATCATGGCATAAATTATAAGTTACCGTACACACAGCAGCACATCACGTTTGGTGTTAAAGTTGATTGCACCAGTGTTTTAGTCTGTAAGAAGTAATTTGCTGATAAGCTGTAATGTACAAATATGGTGTTTTGTGTTACAGTGTATGCTGTGGAGCTGGTACTTATCAGACGATACACAATTCTACGCTGTCAGTGCTATCCTTCTTATATTAGCGACCAGGTAACATTTCAATTCCCCAAACCTTAAGCGGCTTAAGTATATTTGCGATCAAAATCTTTATCTTCCTGTACATACTTGAGCTACACCAGGATCTCTATTAATAATATCTTTTAATTCTCATCAGCCACTTCAAACTCTCCGTGTCCTTAACTGGTGTGTTCTTCGTCTCTTCACTGTTCACGACTGGTTACGTGTCATGGAGTAACGAACACGTCCCTAACAGCGAGGATCCGTTCACGCAATTCGACAAGATATACGACAAGCCCTGGACCAGACTTGGACCATACCTTGTTGGCATGGCCACTGGCTGGATACTGTTCAAGACCAACTTGAAGATTAGAATGAACAAAGTGAGTAAACAGGGACTAAAAATGGACTGGTGATTATTTTAAGAACCCTAATGTATAGACTTTAAAACTGTTGCTATCTTTTACTTAATCTTAATCTACGCGCATTTTTGTGATATTATTATAATTATTTTTGATCTTTGGTAATGATATAGTCTACCTAAATATCATTATTATTGTTAAGAGCTGGTAAATCTTTTATGTCCCTTCTTCCTGACAGCCATAGATGTCCTAAATGGGTAGCTGGTTAAAAATATGAGATACCTAATTAAAAAATAAGAAGATTATATAATTTATATTAAGATTAGATTTTTAAAGCGGTCTAACAGAATTGGCACCCATCCAAATTGGTCCTCGTCAAAGTCTTCCAAGACTACTTGAATGTTTGCTATAACTAATGTACTTTTCCAGATATGGGTATGCATAGGCTGGACAGTTTGCACGGCCACGTTACTGTTCCTGATCTTCGGTCTATATCAGACGGAGCTGGGAGTGGCGGCGGCAGCTATATATAGCGCGCTCTCTCACTCACTGTGGGCCGCGTGCGTCGGCTGGATAATCATCGCTTGCTCTACTGGATATGGAGGTAAAACCTTTTTTTAATCGTAAAAAATGCGTTATATATGCTCTGGTGGATCTACTGTGGGATTGTTAACTATGTGGGGTTTTCTAAAGTGAATTTGTTCGACGAACAATTACTCTCTATGGTGAAGAAAATGGAGGTATAGCCATGAAAGTTTCTCTTAATATTATCATCATAGGATGTTTTAAAGAAATATCATAGTCAGTTAGGATTTATGAGAAAATATCCCTACTGGATGTGATTAATATCAGTGAGAATTTCTGAAATAACCCATAGCAAATAATAATAGTTGATAAAAAATAAGTGTTTTATTCAGTTATAGATTTGTTTTATTCAAAATTAAGATCATTGTCTGTTCTTTTATGAAACAACCAACACTAACCTTAAATATTTAGGACTTCTTTTATGAATGTGAAATATTATATATTACAAATATTACGAATATGTAAATCTCTATTCATGGAAGGCGTGATGTAAATACTCATCCTGGAAGGGCTGACAGGATCCTATTTTATTAATCTAGGACAAAAATCTCATGAACATTACCATACTTGTTATTTTTAAAATCTCTTTGACTAAACATGTACTATCGGCAACTTACTGCCCGGCCATCCTAGAAATATTTTTAACAATACCGGTCATACCAAAAATGTTTGGCTATATGGTCACATTCTATTTGTACTTTTTCGTATTTGTATTGATCTCTAAGTTTCGAACTTTGCAAATTTCAGTTTTTCAATATGTTATTTAAAAGGAACAGAATGACTATCTTTGGTCCATTAGTTTCCTGCAAAAATCAACTTTTGCTAGAGACGCCATCTAGTGGAGGTGCTTTTTAGTGCTTTCTTTTTTTAAATACTTTCTCATTAGAAATGGCCTTCAATTATCTTGTTAATTCGTACGAGTAGTGCAAGTGTATATATAATATGACGTGCCCGCAGGCTGGGTGCGCGTGTTGCTGTCGGCGCCGGTGTTGTACCCATTCTCGCGCGTGACGTACTGCGCGTACCTGGTGCACCCCGTCGTGCTGCGCTACGTCGCGATGCACCTCACGCACCCCATACACCTCGGGGAACTGCTAGTGGTATGTACTAACTAGATCATCTACTGGCAACGTGCCTTATGAAGCACGGAGAAGTTCCAAATATTATACTTTTATTACCCATCACGATTGGCACTTGCGAAGTTTGCTCAACCACGTAATCACAACTGACCACTATGTCACTGACAGTATAACACAACCCTTCCTCATGGACGGCGACACCACGATACCAGAGAAGTGGTAGATTGTCTCTTTGTAGGACTGGACCCAGCGGGCTCTTTACCGGGATTTACCATGTAGGCTGGCCTCGCTTAAGCCTGTACTTTTTAGGACGTGTGCGGGGTCGGAGAGCCCTGGTTTACTAACTTAAAGTTGCTCGCTTCCGTTAAAAAAAGGTGCTAACGTCCTGGAGATGTAGCTATACCTATAATCGACGACCTGCTTTTTCGAAAGCTCTTTAATCTCCGCAATGAGAGAAGAGAGAGAAGCTATATTACATATATCAAACTTAAGAAGTGGGTTACTCTTAGCCGTTTCTTTCCATTACAGTTCGTCTTGTTCCTGGGGCTGACGGTGATATCGTACGCGCTCGCGTTCATTATCTCGGTCGCGTTCGAGGCGCCCATAGTCACGATGCTCAAAATTGTATCCCCCCAGAAGAAACCGCACCGAGTCTGACCAAACGCGTACAAAGATAACACTAGTTTTTAGATTATATCGACGACGATGTGACCAGACTGAACAAATATTCTTAAGGGTGGAAGGGTCCACTGGTAATGTATGGAACGGAAATGCTCATCCGTATCGATGCAAACTTGCAAAACACAATGATTATGTGATGTTATTATAATAACAAATTAAAAATAATATTCTCTCATTGATTATCACAAATTTGAATCGTTTGAAAAAGCCATTATTACTTAGTTGTTAAACCAGAAGAAAAATTACTCTCAAATTCAAAACAAACTTGACCCGCTGTCGAATTATTATCGGTCTAATTTCCATTATAGTTTCGACTTTGAATAAAATAACAAGGGAAGATACAGTACACTCTCTAAAGATATGGAGGACAGCAGAAGGAAAGCACAAGCATGAGAATCACACAAATCATATTTTTTAAATTAATAAATCTATTAATATATCTAACTTTGAATATAATCGCTTCATTTCACTCGATAAAAACGAAACGAGAAATAAATGTTGATACAAAAATGAATGTGCCGTGTTATCCCTTTTTATTCAACCAAAGGTTTCTGAAGTAATTTGTTTTTGGTAAATTAATGACAGCACTTCATCTTGTCACCTTAAAAAATAGGTGATATCTTCTTAACAAATAACTTTTAGAGAACACATTCAACTATAATATCTAAAAAAGTATCTAATAACCGTATAATTCTAAAAAAAGCAAAGCTTTCAACATTAACTTTATCTGCGTCATCTTCGTGATCATTCACATTTAATTTATTTTCCTCTTCTAGTATAAGGTCTCTATAACTTATTTACTCTTCATCGATGGTTTATTCGAATAAATCATCTTTGTCATTACAATTTTACTCTTCTGCAGTAAACTCCATTGAAACAACCAGGAGGATGCTTTATAATAGAAAAAAACAAAATGTCGAGGAATTTACCCCATTTTTATATGTTCTAGATCTAGTTCAGAGAATGTGTGCGAAAAGATTATCATATTAATAAGTTGTTTATTTAGATCTCTGTAACAGTTTAATATGATAATATTCTGTGACTATGAGATTAGTTTTGTAGTATAATTTTTATGTATGTTAACCAAAGTGTTTCAGCTGTGGTATGATTGCTTGTAAGGCAAATTATATGAATCAATAACATCAGATCAGTTTAGAATTCGATTGAAATTTTCTAAAAATGCAGTTTGTTAATTAACTCTGTTGTATGACGTAAATGAAAGAGAACGAAACATCTCCGTCTACAGTCGTAGTTTTAATTTTCAAAGGAATCATTAACAAACAGCCTTATCTGAACAAAAATATTTATGATTTAAAATTTCTTCAATCATTTATAAAGTTGATCAACGAAATAGATCAATGAATAAACAGTAATATTAATCAATCACTATTTCAATGAACCCGGATCCAACGTTACATATTTATATAAAAAACCATTATTACTTTGTCATACAACTGTTATACTTAAAATCGACGATAAATAATATAACACGACAAATTAATTATTATTATTGAGAAATATCTCAAATTGTAAATAGGTTTATGTTTAAACAATTATGTAAATAAGTTGTAAATATTGTGTAACATTATAATGTATATTAGTGTTAATTTGTAAAGTTTTTAAATGAAATAAAAAATATTTAAAAATCTGCGTTCTTTATTGTAATGAACTAATCTTACAGCTATATAATACATTAATAATATATCATTATAATCAGGTCATTCAGTCGTAGGCTGAGATCGTACTGAGAATAAACGCAAGTCTGTAACTTTGCAGTTCATGTATTTTAAGCTATATCTTTAAACGCAATCCGGTCTCAGACCTAATCTTAAAACTGATAGCTTACAATAAAACAGATTTCTGTTTGGAACTTACAGATAATTGTTTGGAATTATAATTTGTGCATATGAAAATTATCAATAACAAAAATAAATATTAGACAGCACCACATACATTGCTCAGATTTCAAGATGAGTCGCTTCAGCCTTCGTAATCCGAATCAATACAGATAAATTCATTTTCTACATTGTGCCGGAACCCGAAAGCTCAGGGTGATCTTGAAATCAGTGTACATTCCACTCAAATATATAATGAAGATATTTCCAATATCAAAAATTGTCGTGTTCGATTTGAAAAGAGTGATGTAGATTATTAATCTAGTCCTACGTTTTTTATAAAGAGACCGATAATTTCAAATTGACACAGGTACCAGGTATGTTATACTTGAACAGCTAAGCTGCTTTTAAAAAAAATATCGTCGAGCACAGCGCCTTTTAACCTTTATTATTTTTTCAAGGTTTTATTTAATTGAACCTCTACGCTGTGCAAGCGCAGCGCAGTGCCGAGCGCTGGTGACGTCACAGCGTGGCGCAGTCGGAGAGGCGGCGCAGCAGACTGCAGCACGGCATCTCCACCAGCAGCGACAGCAGCAGCGCCGCCGCCAACGTCACGACGCTGGTGCCCGCGAAGTACGACCACTGTATGACGACCATGATTATAATAAATTAGGTGCTTCACCTGACTACCAACAGAGTGCAATTTTGTGGCGAGCAAGTAGAACTTTAAATTAATTATGCAAGTCAAAAGACTTCGAGATATTTTACTGTATTATGTCAAGGGCTAGGCGATAGATGAGCGTCGTTTTTTTTTAAATCTTAATAAACATGCATTAGCATATGTACTACAAATATTTTATTTCACTAAAAAAAATATTGAATTTAATGGGGGGCAAATAAGTTCACATGTTAAAGTTTTCCACTCTAGAATATGTCCACTTTAATTTAATTTAAAGTCTACATATAAGCAGGTATCCTTGTGCTGTTGGTATTCCCGAATAAATATTAAAAAAACTAGTTTTGTTCTTTTTGTAGATACGAACAGTTACAAGAAACGATACCTTTCACAGCAAGGGTTTGTGATTATTATCCCTACAATGTTATGGCACAGGCTTTAAAACATAAACATGGAGAGGTAGATCATACCGCGCGATCACATTATTGAATAGCATACACAGAAATAATGCAGCCGACTGGTAAGTATAATGACTAGATGCAACGGAAACCAACTGTATCACAACCAATCTTCATTATGTCTTCCATATTTCTTTTATTATCTTCCATATCCTCGCAAGTTATAAAATAAAGCAACCAATAGAGGAAAACTCGTGAATTTTCATACGCTTTTCCCTAAGGCTCTCACTGAATAATTCAAGTCCTCAAGCTGGATTCATCTTCCTGAAATCGTGTTATGTTTTATTATTTTTTATCAACGTGTTAGTATATGTATTTACTTTTATAAATGTTCTTCCTCGCCCCGAGTCTCGCTACTCTATCCGTATACAAGGGTAACCTGTTAGAGATTGCTACCTTAGCAATAAGGCCGCCTTTGTATCTATGTTTCTAATTACGTGTTACAATTAGAAGGCGGCCTTATTGTACAATAAAGTATATATTCATTCATTCTGTCAATAAATGAGTGTTTATATCAACTGAAAATTACAATAATTATTGAAAATTCTGAATTAATTGAACCGGTTAACCACGTGTTCAACCGTAGAAAGCTTAGCGTGTTCTCATTTCATTATAGTAAAGTAAAAGATGCTATTAAGCAAACATACGAGACAGGCGGCGCTGGAGCAGAGAGCAGCGTCGGCAGTGAGCAGCAGATGCGCGGCGACGGGCGCGTGCAGCAGCAGCGCGCCGTAGCACAGCCGGCTCAGCGCTGACACCCACGCGCGCTCCAATGCACGACGCGTAGTCGCTAAAACAATCAATTCAGTACCTGAATGGATATTCACCAAAGTATCGCGATTTTGTTTTAGGGTTTTTTTAGCGAAAACCTCAATTGTAACCTAAAATCATATTTTTACAATACACTTTTTAAATAATAGGTGACTTTTCACATAAATAAATTCGTCATTTACTAATCTGTTGTTGTTGATCATTTACTATAATGTCTACTAGATTACATCGTTTACAATTCGCAAGAGACAAATTAAGTAGCTGAAACATTGATCCGGATACGAGATTGAAAAGTAGATTTACTATAATGACCCGACCGGGAATCAAACCCGTGAAGTCAGACTTACGAGCCGCTCGTCCAAAGAGCGTGTTATAAATGTCTGATTAGATTTCGTCCATCAAAGATGCAAAATAATAACTCCACTCTAGCAGTAAACGTAAATAAATAAAATAGTCTAAAAATGATTAAAAAATATAATTTAAGTCGATTGTTATTGAACAGTCTACTACTCACAAGCGCAATTTGTAGAACAAACCAAAGCTGGCCAAAGAAGCGCCAATGGCCAAATAACGTGCACCCACGCCGCCAGCCAGTCACTGGCCAGCCATACCACTAATACTGATGTCACAAATATCGCCAACGACGCCAACCATAGACACCAAGCTGTAGTCTATAAAGACATAGAATTTTGCAAAGCCTTTAATAAAGTCAACTGTTAATACAAAGCGAATATAACGGATGTTAGTGTTAAACAAAGTTAATGTGTTGTATAAAGTTTATAATTTATCTTTAAAGAAAATGCTTACAAAATCCCCAACCCCAAGTACCGCCAAGATGTTATTCTGGGAGATATATAGGATGGGAGATAGCCTGAACATGAATGAAAATATGCTTACTAGTACTCAATGAGTAGAGTGGAAGGAATGGTCGCCCAAATCATAAAAGTTTGTGAGTTCGAGTCCCATCTCTCCGGGTTTTTAAATATTTTTCATTAAAGATATCTATCAATATAGCATTGTGAATATTAAATTGTTCAAATACATTATATTGTTTTTGTATGTATATATTTCTGTTTAGTATGAGTTCCACAAGGAAGTTTTTTCGATCCTCTTATTGATTATGTAGTTAGTACATAAATATAATTCATTGAAAAGCACACAAAGTTAATCACACCCACCTTGGAAATATTAATTCTTCCATTCGATTCATGTATCATCCATCCCGTTAAGACTCCGACGAAGTAAGGCACGACTCTAGCGAATGTTCTTTCGATGAAGAAAGAATACGCTTCGTAAACTCCGGAAAAGCTAAATATCAAAAGAAGTATCAAAGACAGTAACAGTGAAGCCAAAAATGTTTTTTTTTTTTTTTTTCAAATATATATCTTTATATAATGCTTGTTTCTAATATATCTAATAATACAGTATGATGTACACTACGTAACTAATATTTCAATCGATAATATAAACATTTTTATGTTCACAATTTGAAATTTTTTTTTCGGAACGAATATTATATTGCCTTGCGGATATTCTCATTTGGAGATATCATCGATAGAATATACCAATAATTATTCTGATGGCACTGATAACGATCGCATAGAGTGGCATTACTCACTATAATCCGTAGTGATGATATGCGGCGTAGAGATCGGCGGCGGTGGCGGCCAGCAGCGCCGTGAGCGCCAACGCGAGCAGCACGCGGAGGCGCGCGCCGCCAGCGCGCAGCACGCACGCAAGAGCACCAAACACGTGCAACTGGCTTTCCACTGACAAGTACCATGATATTTGCATACACTGGAACCAAACAAAAGAATTAAAACCAGTTACTGACAGCTAGTTTTAAGAAAATAAATTACTCTACTGTATGTCGCTGACGCAGTCTGAAAAACGTAAGCAGTAAGCTTGTTTTCGACTCAAGAAATGAACCATCACCACAAATACCACCTTCTCGACACAAAGATGTGCATGTCACTTAGCTGTGGTCTGAGATCGTATTTTTTTCTACTAACCCTTTCATCAGGCGGGTAAATGTTGGCGATATAGAGAAGGTTCCGCCACCAGTATTGGTCACAGTTGTGACTGTCGCCGTCAGGCAGGGATATTGCAGCGGTGTCACGAGACGCGCGAGCCATCACACCAGACAGTAGCACCGCGAACGCGTACGATGGCACCAACCTGAACAAGACCACATCTAAGTCTACAAATAGAAGTGCTCTTTAAAGAGTTTAAGCCTGTATACATACTTCTTGATCACTGATATAATACCAATATTTTTTTTACTCATTAACTTTAACCAAAAAATATATGTGTATAATTACATTAATCACAACCAATGTGATCATCTTATAAGTAAAATTTATTGAAATCGTTATGTCAAAGAGTGGTAAACTAAATCTTAAATAACATGCTTTCTATCTGCAACATCTTCTACATGCACTTCATAAATACGAGTATTATATAATAACTCTTAGACAACAACATATTCATTGTTCAAATTCTAAATAAATAAACTCAAGCCCTTGTGTATATTATGAAAATTTAATACAATGGAGTACCGCAACATCCAGAACTGAGACAATATTAAAGTTCTCCTAAATAGACCCGAACAAGAACAGAACTTGGGATATTTAAACTCTCCTATACCGTAATATACATAGATATATTTATACCTGATAATCCTGTTTGTAACGAAGCAAACGAACTGCAATATCTGCCCACAAGTGCCTCCGAAACTGACCAGTTCCTCCACTGTGTAATGACTCTTCAGGTAGAAGAAATGGTGTGAACTGAACAAGCCACTATATAACAATATGTTTTATTAGAACAGTTGTAATTTTGAGATTTCAGTTTCCAAAAAGTGGATAATGATAAATACCTGATAAAAAACAGTGTATCGAAAGCCAAAGTTCCTGTGATTAACGCATAATACGCGTTTTTATGATCATTTATATCGCCAGCATCATCTGAAATTAAAATATAATGTATTGTAGGAAAAACATTACTGATGATGTACAAAAGATAAAATAACAACCCATGATTATTGTACAATTTGTATTTTAGAAATTTTAACCAAATACATCACGACTTCCAAGTCTTTTTAATTGGATAAAAAGTTAAATAGCTATGATTTGTCTTGCCTTAAGGACTTGTAACAGTATTAAACTAACCTGCAATATAATTCACCATCACAGTTACGTGTATATAAATCACCCACAATGTCGCAACAATCCTTAAGAAGTGTATGATGGACAGATCCTTATTTGCCATGTTTGTGTTAAAAATCCTTTTCCAGCTATAGACTAACGAGTAGCAGAGCAATAATCTCTTTAAGAAACTGTTCTTTTTCTCATGAGTACTAACGCTTTCGACCGAGCTGTACTTAACCCGAGGACACGCTGGCAGATTGTCGGTTCGTGTGGGATTACTACATTGCCGCTTATATTTCCCGCACCGATTGCAGCTCCCACTCGCTCTCTCCATGGACATTACGTTTAGCGTAATCATTGGAGGAATATCATTAGTTTTCTCACCTTTCTTTATCATACTCATTTCATTAGTCTCTTCTACTTTAGTAACAGCAGTAAGTTGTCCGAAATTTTGGCCATTCCAGGGTGCTGCTTTGTGTTTTCTTAGCGCGCTATCAAAATAACGATTCTGTATAGTAGTATTGTTATATTTCTGTAAATCGAAACTAACTGATCTGGACGAGTGATGTTTCAATTTACATTTGATCAAGTTCAATTCAACCACTGTGGCTGTAACCGAGAGTAAAAGTAGAAATATTGTCAGGCATATGAGTATTATAGCACCGCTGTCACTTTCTATGTTATAATGTCCTTCAATTTTCCTCATAGAAATAACCTTTGTCATTCTGGGGATAGTCTTATTGGACTTTAAGTTATCGTTGATCATTATAGAGAATATGAGTATGGATTCTACGTCCTCGATGGTACACGAACGAGGCATACACAAGCCCAGAGTTATTTCGTAAGACTGAAATAATAAAAAAATATATATTTAAAAAACAAAAGACTATCTACTCTACTATTATTAATTTAAGGCAAAAATGCGAACTTTTGTTTTAAGTATTTTGAACCAAAAGAATAAAATAAATTTAATAAATGTGAGCCAGATTTAGCAAATTACCCGCAGCGCATACTTTAAGTATATGACTCTGAATAAATATGTCTATATTTATAAAGGTATCTGTGTATTTAAGTTACAGTAAAAGTTATATGCCGCTAGTGAACTCCACATCTTGTTGAGTCTGACATCTTCCAAGGCCTTTAAGTACCTACTGAATAAAATTTTATGAATGTAAGGGCTCTATAACTTTTATAAGGTATAGCTGGCTTCAACATTAAAGCTCATACCTCAAACCTGTTTACCACCAAACTAAATTACCTACCATAACTTTTTTATTTACAACTAAGTAGACCAAAATATTCTGCTAGACCATATACCGACACGCCACTCCTACATCTTTCATGGGGCAACTCAATATGATAATTTATTTATATGTGTTCCCTAAGACCAGTCATAGCTCGAATTATTAAATAATGTATTGTCTTAAGCTCAGTTCGTTTTGGCTGTATCTGCAATTAATACCCATCAATTCATACGTGATGGGTGGCACATTGCCCGTTCTCCCATTGTGCTTCAATCATGATGATCTTACATTGTACTGACTCACAGAAAACTAACCTTGGCCATAGTGATCTTGGTGACGTTGAGCGTGAGCCGTGCGGCGAGGTATGCTAGTCTGTGTGGCGGCCGGTTGTCCGCGGCCACAATGCGCTGGATCAACTCATCCCGCTGGGCCAACTGTTGCCACTCCTGTCCGCCTGCGAAAAGTTTGTTATTGCGATTGTTCATAACGACATTTTGAAGTCGTCGTAGTTTACAAAATATGTAATTATCAACAAGTAGGTACTTTTTGAATTCAATCCAAGAACAGTGCTAGATCAAAGCCAGGACTGAAACTCTATTCACTGTAAAAAAAATACTTCAATAAAGAATTGTGAATCATAATGTAACTACAGAAAAGACGATTTCCCAATCTTCCTAATCTAACTAACTACTTTTTATAGTTTGTATTAGAAGTTTTTTTTATTTTCATAGCATGTGCTTTATTAACGGAACATAAATACTTACGAGTTCCGTAAAACTTTTCCTGCTGAAGCACATCCTTGAGATAGTCGCCCTCGTAGTACTCATTCATGCTGCCATTTGTTTCACGAGTCAAGAAATCGTTGTCCTGTCAACACAATACAGTTAATCCATTATTTTGCACGATAATGAGCCTTACGACGACCACTTCTGAGCATAGGCCTCCCCCAAAGATCGATAATGAGTACGTATTTATTGATCAATATTTGACTCACCAGATGGAGGCACTGTTGTTTAGATCCCAACCAGTAACGGTTGCCGGAGAACAGACCAGCCTGGTACCGCCCTGACGCGTCTACCACTACAACAATATCAGTGTTTCAAGAATTGAGCCAGTTTATAGAGAAAGCGAGAAGTGCATAGGTATAGGGCTTTCAATGTTACAAGTATAAAGTCATCCCGTGATTTGTATAAGTTAACTTTATTATTAATTATTATATTTATCAATTTCGCATTCACAATGCTATACTAAAAGATATTCTTAATGAAAAATGCTTTAAAAATCATATATATATGTTCATGAAATGACCCGCCGAATCATGTAATAATCAATTCTTCGATATATACAGCGATAAAATAAAGTAACTGTTTATGAATGCTCTGCTCAGTGCTATCAAAAAACAAATAGATACAGACAGAGAATATTTTATTAATTACTCGCAAACTATCACAAATATTATAAAAGTGGAGCACAAAACTCTCGGCTATAAAATGACAAATATAGAACAATATTCAAGAAAATTATAGAACGGCAAATCTTATTATTAATGTACCAAAATAATATTACAAAATATGTTATATAATAATGTCTACAAAATAATGAATTTATTCATTTTTAATAGTGTTGCTTTGTGAGATATATGAAAGAGATGAATAAAAGATTGTGGACTGTAATTATAGGTTTATATGCAAAGGTACAAAAGTAGCCCGACAATACTATGTATCCGCGCGGTGTCTCGTGCGGTCGTGGAGCGAGTGTGTCGTGACGTTGTCGCGGCCCTCGGTCGGTGCCGAGCTCCGCTCCTCCTCCTCTTCACCCCATGCCCCGGGCTCGCCCGCGTGCGCGCGGGCAGTGTTGTCACATCCATAGACTCGCCGCCTTGAAGTGTCTTCAACACTAGTGATTGGCAGCGGGCAGATGTTGTTGAAGGCCCGGCGGATGATGCCCTTTTTAGTTTTGATGTCGGCGACTCTAGCGATGCCATCTTGTCCGGGTAGAATGCGTAGAATGCGACCAAGAAGCCACATCAGTGGAGGCGCCGTCTTGTCCTTGATGATGACAAGTGCACCCTCCTTCAGCTCGCCCTTGGATGTGTGCCATTTCGACTTTTTCTGAAGCCACAAAACATATTCATTATGAAAACGTGACCAGAAATGTTGTTTTAGGGCTTCGATGCGATGGAATCTTTGAAGTGACGAGATTCTTTTGTCAACCAGTTGCGGATGAGGCAATGCAACGAGAGATCGTCCGATGAGGAAGTGGGCTGGAGAGAGAAAGGATAAATCTGATGGATCGTGGGAAAGAGGTGTGATAGGCCGAGAATTTAGAATTGCTTCTATCTGTATCAGAAGAGTTGTCATCTCTTCAAAGTTTAAGTGCGTCAGCTTTAACACGCGACGAAGATGATGTTTCACGGATTTAACTGCTGACTCCCACAAACCGCCGAAATGGGGAGTATAAGCAGGGATAAATGAAAAATCAATACCTTGGTCAACAAGATGGGATGACAACGAAGGTTCTTTTAATAATTTGGAAAGCTCGTTAAATGTTCCTACAAATGTCGTGCCGTTGTCTGAGAATACGCTCTGCGGCCTCCCCCGGCGTGCTATGAACCTGTTAAGAGCCGCAATGAAGGCTTCTTTAGTGAGGTCTGAGACAAGCTCTAGATGTAGCGCCTTGGTGGCTAAACAAACAAAGACACAAATGTAAGTTTTTATTAATTTACACCCTCTACCTTTACGGTCTGCTATCAGCATTGGCCCGGCATAGTCAACACCGGTCTCGAGAAATGGATACTCTAGTTGTACTCTATTATTAGGTAAGTCACCCATAATAGGTTGACATGCCTGGGCTTTAAACCGAGAGCACTTGACACAAGAGTGTACTATTCGCTTAGCTAATCTGGTCCCTCCTAATGGCCAATAATTATGCCTAGCCGTAGCTAATAAAAGTTGTGGACCGGAATGCATATAGGTAGTGTGTAGCATGTCAAATATAAGGTGACACAAACGATGCTTGCCACAAAGAAGAATGGGATGTTTCACATTATAATCATAGCAAGAATTATTAAGCCTACCGCCTACTCTAATAAGATTATCCGAATCTATGAATGGAGATAAAGATAAGAGTCTATTTTTATACGGCAATGGTTTGTTTTCCATGAGAAGTTTTCTCTCTACTGGAAAGGAATCTTGTTGAGCTACTTGTAGAAGTTTTAGTTTTGCTATTTTAAATTCAACATTTGACAAATGACTATTAAATTTTATTGAACCTTTACTCCGACAGTTATTGATAAACCGTAAAATAAATGAAAAGATTCTTATTAATTTAGTAAAACTAGATAATTTTTGTATTAGAATAGATATTATATTAGATTCTGATTGCACTTCTTTAATATGAAATGTTTGTAATTCTGGGAGCTTTACATTATTATTCTGGTTTGGTTTTATAGGCCAATGACAAGAATCTAATTTTAAAAAAGAAGGACCCGACCACCATAATGTAGTGTTGCCTAATAAATTTGCTCTCAAGCCCCGAGAAACTAAGTCAGCTGGATTTTGCTTTGATGGTACATAGCGCCATCCATTTGATGTGTCCTGAATCTCGGTAACACGATGACGTACAAAGGATTTTAGTTGACTCGATGAAGAGGAAAGCCAGCCCAACACAATCATAGAATCGGTCCAAAATATACGAGCACTATATTCAAAGGTAACAGACGAAACAACCTTCGCACACAGTCTTGCACCCATTAGAGCCGCACAAAGTTCTAAACGTGGAATAGTTGTCGCTTTGATAGGTGCTACTCTACTCTTGGACGCTAGAAGTCGAACACTGACTGACCCATCACTAGATGAACTCCGTATATAAACACATGCCCCGTATGCCTTCTCCGAGGCGTCTGTGAAGATATGTATCTGTGTATCCGTTGCAGACTCTACTTTAATGCATCTTGGGATTTCTATGTAGTTTAACCCTTGTAATGATTGAAAAAACTCTTTGAACTGCTTACTTATGTTTGGAGGAACTATTTCATCCCACGAGCATTTCAGTATCCACAACTGTTGAATAAGTAATTTTGCTTCAACAATACAAGGCGATATAAGACCAAGTGGATCGAACACTTGTGAAATTACTGATAATATGAATCTTTTCGTTATTTTTTCTTCTGGGCTTATATTAATATAAAAATTAAAAACGTCCTTAGAGCAAATCCAATTAAGACCTAAAGTTTTAGAAGGCTCTTTCGCCCCGAAGTCGACGCTACCTGATACCTTACTATGATCACTGACAGCGCTGCGTATCTGTTCGTTATTGAAGTGCCATTTTCTAAGACGGAATTTTGCGGTTTCAAGTGTTGCAATAACACCTTTGCACAACTCTACGGTCGACTCTACTGAATCCGCCCCAGAGATAAAATCGTCAACATAAAAATCGTGGCAGATGGCTCTACTGACATCTGGGTCAGTAGAGTCGTAGCCTAACTGTGAAAGGCATCTGGTAGCTAGATACGGTGCTGAAGCCGTACCATATGTTACGGTATTAAGAGTATACGTTGCAAGTGGATGCGAGGGATCGAACCTCCATAAAATGCACTGCAACGGACGTTGACTTTTATCTATTTTTATTTGTCGATACATTTTCTCGCAATCTGCTGAAACGACATATTGATGTTGGCGAAAACGTATTAAAATAGAAATTATATCGTCTTGTATCGTCGGACCAACACGCTGGATGTCATTAAGTGACTTACCAGACGACGTGTTAGCCGAGGCATCGAAGACCACACGTAATTTAGTGGTTGTACTATGTTCTTTGTAAATTCCATGATGTGGAAGGAAGCAATACATAGAGCTAGGCTGCTCTGACAATGTTTCAGTCATATGTCCCAACTCTATGTATTCCTTCATGAAGTTTACATACAGCCGCTTCATGTCAGGGTCTCTATCCAAACGGCGCTCTAGAGAAAGAAACCTACGTCTAGCCATAGCTACTGAATCGCCCAGAGCTTCTGGTGATTCTTTAAGAGGCATAAAAACTACGTACCTTCCCTCATGATCGCGATAAGTGGTGTCTATAAAAGATTGCTCACATGCTTGTTCATTTGAATTTAATTTATATTTATGAGGTATTGAGTCTAATGCCCAAAATTGTGATAGATCCACTGATGCATGATTAGAACTATCGTTATTAGTGAACATACATACATGACCCTTTAGCCCTGATTGATAGATGGCGCCTGATACTAACCATCCGAATTTTGTTTCAAATAAGACCGGTTTATGTTTACCTAGCTCTATGCGATTTGTGCCGATCACCTGCCAGAACACGTCCGCCCCTACGAGCACATCAATGGTTGACGGCACGTTAAACCCTGGATCGGCCAAACAAATGCCTGACGGTAAATTCAATTCATGTGTGTTTATATACTTGTTGGGTAATAAAGAAGTAATTTGAGGTAAAACGAAGCAGTCAATGTCCGTCCTATAGCAGCCATTATAAGACTCCAATGTAAGAGAGCAAGACCGTGAACTACATGACGTTAGGTTATTTATGCCTGTTACCTTCGAATTTGTGTGATGTTGAGCAATATTCAGCCTAGTGCAGAGGTCCTGGGTGACAAAATTGCCCGTGCTGCCGTTGTCTAGCAAGACTCTAGCAACATGCTGCTTGCCGTGCTTGTCGATGACCTTGACCAGCGCTGTAGATAGCAATATGTTACATGCATTAGTACTGACCCCAGAATGATCGGCTGACAGAACTATACTTTCATGTGAAATTATTTCCTTAGGCTCCTCCACATGCAAAAGGGTATTGTGTTTTTTGTTACAATATTTACAGTGTGTTAATTTACAGCTTGACTCATGATGACCTAATCTTAGGCAATTTTGACAAACCTTGAATTCTTTAGCCTTCTGCAGGCGTGATTCGATTGATAATTTACGAAATATGTCACATACAAATAATTGATGATTTTTATGACATAAAGGACATGAAGAAACTTTAGATTTAGGTGTAAAATTTGAAACAACAAAACTTTTTGGTTTTTGAATTGTTTGACCCTCAATTTTATTCTTATT